GCGCCCGGGGCCGGCGCTCCCCCCCCGCAAGCGCCACACGCCCGGGGCTGGCGCTCACCGTGCGCCATGTGCCCGGGGCCAGGCAAGCCCCGAGCACCTGGTGGGCGCATGCAAATGCCACCGTGTTGGGGACCACGGGCCTACATAGACACACACACACTATTCTACCAATCGATGTTATAGTTACGAGTTCAAGGTTCGCGCCCGGGGCCGGCGCTCCCCCCCCGCAAGCGCCACACGCCCGGGGCTGGCGCTCACCGTGCGCCATGTGCCCGGGGCCAGGCAAGCCCCGAGCACCTGGTGGGCGCATGCAAATGCCACCGTGTTGGGGACCACGGGCCTACATAGACACACACACACTATTCTACCAATCGATGTTATAGTTACGAGTTCAAGGTTCAGATCTTTCTGGTGGCCAACCAGATTGATCACAGATAGGGAGGAGCTGGGTTCCGTCTTGCCAAAATTCTAAAGCATTGGTCTGGACCAATAGAGCCCCACTTCTCCTTATCTGAAATCAATCTGGTTGGACCCCTGAGGAGCTGGACCCTAAACTGGACTAGTAACTATAAAATTAATTGGTAAAACTGTGTGTGTGTGTGTGTGTGTGTGAGAGAGAGAGAGAGAGAGAGAGAGAGAATATTCTGACTGCTTTACTATTATATTCTTAATAAACATGACATATTTCCTTTTCCGCTACAAAAAAATCCTATGTGCTTCTTATAAGCATAACAACATGAGAAGTCTATGATTGAGCCAGGATTTAAACACAGACGTCCTGAGTCTCAGTTAGTGTTCCCTCTAAGCTGTGTGATTGTGCACAGGAGAGATTCAAATGCTGCATAGCAGAATGCCTACAGCTAGATTTTGTTTCTACTGATCATGCACATTCGCACATGCATCAGTGCATGTACAAAATGTATTCTGCATATGGATGGAAAAAATGTGCACATGGATGGAAAAGATTAAAGGGAACATTGTTCTCGGTACAGCCCTTTTATTACATGATCATCCTTCCTCTCTTGATTTTAATTAGGAATTTATTATTGTAAATGAATACCTTAGTCCTGTTTCTTTTTACCTACAGATCGCCCAGGTCTCCTCAGTGTTGAGAGGATAGAAAAATGTCAAGAGGGTTTCCTCCTGGCCTTTGAACACTACATTAATTACAGAAAACACCATGTTGCACACTTTTGGCCAAAACTGCTGATGAAAGTGACAGATCTACGAATGATTGGAGCGTGCCATGCCAGCCGCTTCCTGCACATGAAGGTGGAATGCCCCACGGAACTCTTTCCTCCTTTGTTCTTGGAAGTGTTTGAGGATTAGAAAGACTGGAGTGGTTCTCAGAATTCCTATAGCACTACTGGCTGTCATTTCATTCCATTGCCTAGCTCTTCTTCTGTTTGTTCTTTTTGGTTTGATTTGGTTTGTGGGGGGGGGGTTTTTTGTTTGTTTGTTTTTGTATAAACATGATGAAATTGTCCCTTTAATGCGGGTACTTGTGACTATTACATTTTGTCCTTCAGTCCCTTGATGTGAATGCTTTGACAGCTTAATAGTGAAAACACAAACAAACCAATCACTGATCACCAGCACTTCAGTGGTCACCAGCTCACATCCATCACTGCTTGGAGAAATGGGGAGAGAAAATTGAAGTTGCAGAAAATAAACAGGCCTTCAAGGCAAAGCACTTTGCCCTGCCTTTTTCCTAGTATTACCTCATTTTGCAAGCCACAAGAGAGATACTATGTCTAGTTTTCCATGATCTTTCTAAGTATAACCATCACCATTGTGACCTAAGAATACCATCATCACTGTGATTGCATCACATCCTTGGGATTATTACATGAGTCATAAATATCAGAGCCCTCTGCAATCAAATCTTTTGTTCAAATGCACAGTGGGAAGGAGAGTTTGATATTTTTTTCATTTATACAAAATGAGGGCAAAATCCTTCAGCCCTTGGTCAGTTAAAACTCCAGATGACTTCAGTGAGAGGTCAGCTGGAATAAAGAATGTGGGCTTGATCCTGTGAGGTGTTGAGCTCTTCCCAAGAGATGCTGGGAACCCTCAACTCAGGTTGACTTCAGGACAAAAAGTGAAAGGGGATACCACATCAACATCCAAGTGGCATGGGAAAGGACGGGCACTCAACAGGTCTCGGTATGCACTCTGCAAGAATGGTTCTTTTATCCTAACTGCAGGATTTGCCCAGGGCTATAAATTCATGTATTTATATTGGCTGCACTAATAGAATCTGAATTGAACAACAGTGAGACGGCCTGTTGATGAAATCTGCCAGCTAGCTTTCATGGCACTCATTTGGACTCTGTTTCATCCATCCTCTTCACAAGGTGGTTGTCTCTGAAATTGTAGAAACTCCAGACCAGGCAAGCCCCCTCATTTATTTGTAAGTGGGATACATTAGAAGGATCATCCTCTCTTCCTGGCAATAGAAAAGATTTTGTTTTCTCTTTCAGAATAAGTTTCAGGTGCCCTTTGTTGCATTGTGCATTCACAAATCCAAACATAACGAAGATAGAAACTGGAATCTTTTCCTACTCAACTAGAAAGGCATTGTTATAGTTTAGATTCAAAGTTATAGGCCCTAATCTAGTCCCAGGTGTTTGAAAACTGGGTCCTCAGGAAACTTTTCATTGTGGGCAACACACCAGGGGAATTTTGAAATTCTTGTCACTTCACAGGGTGAAGATTGCATTTGGAATACCAATGGCCACGTTTTCACCCGGCCGAATCCCACCCTATGTGTTTCTTGATGCAATTTGCATCTATTCTTGTGATGAGTTGTGAGCATCAATTTTAATAGTTACACTTTGGACCACTAACATTTGTGTCCACAAATCTATATGGGTATAAAACACTCCCGTGCATATTTTGCAGGCACAAAGGAAGCCAGGCCACTGGAAACTTGCTCTTAAACATTTGGGTTTTTTATTATGTTAAAGATACCAGTTGTTGGTTCCCATTCCTCCCCCTTCGCTCAAAGCAAATGTTTGGATGACACCAATCTCTAGACTGTTTTGCAGTAAAACTAATAGTACATGATGGGGTTGGAGACATCACCCATACTAGTGAGGGTCATACTTGGAAATAAAACAAATTCTGCTCACACGAATCAAAGCTTGCATGAGCAGATCCTAGCTGCACACATTAAAAGAAAACCATTTGCACAAATGTTAAAATCAAATTAGTTAAAATGACAGGTTCTTGTAGCAATTGAATAAAACTGTTGATCCATTTCTTGCTTCTGTTTCCAGATCTGGGAAGTAAATATAAATGAAATGTACAAACTTTTTAGAGCTATATTCTGCCCTTAATCTTCATGGGAAACTCCCACTGATGCCAGTGAGAGCCCCACACATGTTCCTATGGCAATGTATGACTAATTTAGTGTACAAATATTTGCCCATGCTGCAAGTGAGAGAAAAACACCCTTCTTCCTGGCAGCTATCTGTGCTGGCAACTCACAATTCTATTGCAAGTCTTGAAATATCTGCTGTTTTTCTGATAGCCCTTCCTGGAAATCATGTTTTTATCTGACTTTTAAAAAAAAAGTTTCTGGTGCTTTTTAGTTTTGAAAAAAAATAACTCAAATTTGAAAATTTTGGCCAAACTTCGAAGACAAATAAGAACTCAGAATTCACAGTTTAGAACTGTCCTGATTTGTAAAACAGTCTTATGATTTTGGGGTCTGATTTTTGAACCCTAAGGATTGGCCAGTACTCCGTTATTCACAGCAAATAGCACCGGAAAGATAATAGTAATTAAAAAAAAATTATTAGTCATCCTACTCAGGAAAGCTTCACCAGTCTGACCCAGCACAGAGAATCAACATTTTACAGGCTAGTTGATGTTAAAATAACTACTGGTTCTTGAATCTGTCCTCATTAAATCTAACAAGCAAAGCAATGAGACTTCAAAATATTAGACTTAGTACATTATATCATTGGGTGCCTGGAATTAGGCATTTAATTTGTATTTAGATGCCCGAGTACGTGGCCTGTATTTCCAAGATGTTGACTTCATTGTAAGCTGTGACTACTCAGTATCCTGAAAAATCAGTCCACCTTTTTCTAAGTGACTAAACATGGATTTCGGTGCCTAACATTAGGAAACCAAGCCTGGAAACATTGGTCAGTGTTTTTAGCAAGTAGTACATATAGCAGTATTTTTTAACCTTTTTTGTATTAAAGGCCTGGGGGTTGGCAGTAATTTCTTCTGGTGAATTACCTTTATCTATCAATCCAAACCCAATATCCATCTCTTAGTTTAACAGAAGTGATCTAGTGACACCTAAGGCTCTGATTCCATACCAGTTTACATTGCCTGACTTCATTAACTTCAGTGATATGACTCCAGATTTACAGCAGTGCAGAATTAAAACCTGTATTAGGATCTGATCTTTCAAACACTTGCTATTGGACTTAGACCCCGTATCTTGCAATGACTTATGCAGAGGCTTGAATTTACAGCTATAAATAGTCCCAAGTCTTTGTAGGTTCAGCACCATTCTGCTTGCCACTGTGAGTAGCAGACTTTAATGTGACTGACTATTCCCAAGAGTAAATATGACATCCAGTAACATTCGTAGCACAGCAGACCTGAATTTTTCAGTGCAGTTCATGCTTTTGTTTGATGGTGCCGCATTGCTCTCATTCTTGCTCTCTAGTCTAGGACTATAAGAAATGGGGTCTTTTATTCATGATTCTTTCTGTCAAATCAGCTCTTTCATTGTCATCTTCACTGTTTTTTGCCCTACGTTATATACACGTATGGCATCTCAACTTAGTTCTAATATTTAAAATAGCTTATATATGGTGTGATAATGATTTTCATTTACACTCTGCCAAAATGTAGACATTAGAATTAGATCTCTGTGGTCCAAAATCATCTCTAAGGTAAATGCTTGCTTTTTCAGGGGTCAGTATCAGAAAGAAAAAGAAAAGTGACCAGAGGGAGAGATTGCAAATCATTCTAGTTAGGGCTGTTGATCACAGGCAGAGCATGTCATTGTTAGTGATGTATTTTTAAGCTATGGAACTCTAACCTGTATGTGTCATATTGACTTTTTCTGCATGAATCATAAACTATAAAAATCTGTCTTATGGGTTTGAGACGTAGCCAACATCTGTAAGGCTAAACCTTTTTCATTGACAGAATAAAAATCAGCAACA